CTACCAGCAACCTCTCTGCATTTGAGGACAACCCTCGTTTGTTTCTATAACTTCTCGCAGGTTGGAACCAAAAGGCAAAGGAACACAAATTACATAATAATGTAGTTAAAACTTGTGCCAGATCCTTCTTGTATGACTACTGTAAAAATAACCTCCACAACTTTCAGAAACCAAGTAATTGCTATAAGTGCATGTAACATCACAACTAGAGATGTGCTTTCTAGACTGAAAATGTAAGATGGTAGGAAAGACACCTCAACATAGGTTTGAAATTTTTAATCTGGACTTTTGATGATCAGACATTCATTTAAAGTAATGCAGAATCCATGTTGCAGAAGCCTAAGTCTCTAAAGAGATCTGCATCAAGACTGAACAATTCCTACACCCTTCTGAGCAGCCTCCTAAATTGATCTTAAATTACTACCAGCCTGGTAATTTTAATAAGTTTCTATAGTTGCAGTTTGTCCATCAAAGGATCCAGATGAAACATTCATAAATATCTTAAAAACAAACTGAGGGAAATGCTAACAGATACATTTTCTTTCACTAGGATAACGTGAAGTAAGAACATCAGGAATATGGCATGTGATGTATTGATAAATGTCAGGGTATGGAAACATAATCAACAAAAAGAGATCTCTAAACTGGATTTTAATGTTCTTTCACTCTGTCCTAGACCACATACAATGTGGTGCAGTAACAGTGACATTCAACAATCCAGTTTATGATTCAGCTTTAGTTCAGTGGCCCTGTCCATTTGCTTCTTTCCTTCAATGAATTTTGTCATCCATGATGTTTCAGTGAATTGTACATTTGCTAGTTGCTTTGTTTCATGATATGGTGCTGTGACCAACAGGTATTATATTGAGATGACCTATAACTTTCAATAAATACTTGGTAGCTAATGTTAACAATTATACAGTGATAAATAACACAGGTTGCAATATGTGTAACCTTGCAGAAAAGCTCTTTAATACTATTTTCAATTCTTTCAGTCAAGTAGCTTCCATACATGGAGCTAAAATTCTTAAAAGCTATTGAACTTTTACACAGAAATGAAATAAATTTTTCTGGAAGAGTGAAAAATAATTTCTTGTATTTATAATTAAAAAAAAAAAGGAATAACTTGAATCATTCAATAAAAATAGCATTTGGATCTCCAAAATAATTAAAAAACAGTACGTAATTTTCTCATTTTTTTAAGATACAATATGCGTAAACATATAAAAAATAGAACAAATACGTATTTTTTCTTTATGATGCCTGAAAATGTTAGGTGCTATTCAATGTTTTTAGATTAACACCTAATCAATTTTCTTTGGCTTCATTGGTTATTTCCTTAATTCCATTATTAAAATCACTTCCACACAAAACATGCTTAGAACATCACTTAACTATATAAAAAAATACATTATCTCTTCAAAGATGAGTAAAAGCAAGATAATGTGGCTATTTCAAATTTTGCTGTCCAACTCAAATAATGATACAATACACCAAGTGAACATAATACTCTGATTTGTTCTGTGTGTCTTACTGCATTCATGCTAAGCCTACAGTACTTTTATAGACATAACTAGTCTGAAAGTAGTTTACCTGAAGGCTTAGAATGAAATATTAACTACAATTTTATTTAAGCAGTATAGATTAAATATGAAACATCAAATATACATCTTGATTTAAAACTGAGCAATCTGTGAATACTAAATGTTTAAGGGATTACCAGAATACAGACTGAAATGGTGCAAGGATAAAGAGAGACTGCTCAACTTCCAAGAAATGGAGCACCAGCATACATGCCATAAACACAGGCACCGTCACTTTTATTTTGAGTATTATGTTACTTAGAAACCTTATTCTAAGGTGTGGGCACATTGAAAAATCTTATGCAGACAGAAACTAAAAAACTTAAAATCTTACTGTCATTTCTGAGGGCGTTATTCAGCAACTGGAACAGTGGGAAGCTGTCCCAGGAGTCCTGTGGCTGTGCCTCGAGTGCTGAATCCATATCAACAGAGTACAGAGACAAAAACTTCTCTGCATGCTCAGCCAATAATTCTGGCCACCAAGCGAATGCCTGCAAACGTGACAGAATAGAATTACTAAACACAAGTCATAAAGAAAGAGATGTGTTGTATCTATAGAAAAGTACATCTGGGTATGTCACGTCCTGTCCTATCTCATTTGGGGAGGATGAACTGGCAAAGTGAAAAATGTGAAAATATTTTATAAAAAATTGCATCAAAAATGTAAGAAATGAAATAGATTAAACTGGGAAAGATGATAGAATCAAAACTTAACACAAAAAAATTAAAAAAGGAGCACAAATCTCTGCAACTATTTTGCCAGAGAGCAAAAAGAAAAGAAGGAAGGCCTCATTCTTGAAAAATTACTGGATGTGCTGCTTTTGATTTCATTCAGTTCTAAGAGTATAAGTAATCACATTAATTGATTTTTCAACTAAATTCTTGTGAATACATTTTGCACTCATTTGTTAGTCAGAAGGGATGATTTTAGCATGACATTTTATTCCTTGAAGTCTAAGGGGTTTTTTTTAATAGATACAGAGCACTTTTTAATTCCTATGTTTTCCTTAAAGATCTTGGCTCTCCTGAGGAGGGCACCCAGTTTTCCTTCCACAAATGCTATAAATGCATTTTTGGAAATTCATTAACGTCTCTATTAATTTTCAGTAACTTAACATGTTGGAATACACATTTTCCTTTGGTAAAAATTTAGATTCTTAGGTAATCCTAGCTTAAAAGAATAAAACTGTGAAAAATAGTATGTCAGCAAGCAAAGCCAGCTCCACATTAAAGACTGCTTCACATGTAACGCTCATACCTTTTTACTGTCACTTAAATCTGGGCTTTGAGGGGTCAATAATGACGCTGAGTACTCTATCAGAGGGAGCTGTATGATCCTGGAGTTAAAGATGAAGGTGAAGTGAATTTATGAAATAGGATGAATATCACATACTGCTAAGAGTGTTTTGCTGAGAGTTCACAAAAATATGCGACAGCAAGAAATACCTACGTATACTAAATAAGAAAATATCTTTGCTTTTAAACTTATGGATCTCATATCGAATATCTTGTTTTGAACAGTTTTGAGTTACCACCACGGGACAGATGTAGCTTGAGCTATACAAGTGCTGAGTTCTCACAGCTTCAAATAAAGTCACAGAAATCCTCACTTGCGTTTCTGCAACGCAGGTCCTAGGTAACGTAGAATTATGTACTCAGGCTTGAAAGGCATCAAATAAAAGACAACTTCTGAAAAGTGATCTACAAATATGTTTTTGTATCCTGGACTTCCTGATGACTGACTGTAATTCTTTTTGACATGGGCCAAATGGAGTAAGGATGAACTGGCAAGAGGTTTTAAATAAATGCTGAGCATCCTCTGCTATTACTGAAAAGTACTTTGTGTGTTTCGGTGTCAGGATTGAAGGATGCTGATCGCCACCAAGGCAAAAAGGACAGATAAGGCTTCAAAAATTTTGGCAAGAGTTTGAAATGAAGTCCTTTTCCTCAAACCTTAAGAAGTTTCTCATTAGTAAATTCTGTTTAAATGGAAGCTTATTAGAGGAACAGACTCCTTACCCAAGAAAATAACTAAATGCAAAGAAATAAAGAAGAAATGTATACAGGCATTGACAGGTGTCCCTTTTAGGCAAGGAAAACTCTTCAGAAAATATTGCCAAAACCTCAAAAGAAAGCAAAACCAGAAAACCAGCACTTATTCTTTCCATCTTCTCCCCCTTTGCAAATGACACTTGAACCCAGACAGAAATTCTTCTGACCCTCTTAAGAGATAACCATCATTGCTCAGGCAGCATGGAAGAAGAATAGAAAAACAAATACTACAGCTAAGATAGTTGTTCAGTCATTATGGATAATATGAAAACAGGCTAAAGGCAATTAGCAGTTGGTGACACACATTCTAAGAGAACAAAAACATTGACAGGACTGGAGGAAGACTGAAGTTCTTACATTACAGAAAGACACACAAATGTGGCAATACAACACCAGAAATCATCAGAACAATTTATACTATAAAATTAATGCATAGTTCCATGCTATGAATGATGAAAAATAATGCTTAGTTGATCAGGAATCACATACCTCTCTTCCCTTTGGGGATCCCAGATATTTGGAAGTGTTATGAGTTAAAAAAAAAAATAAAAAATCTAGCATTAAAAAAATGTGATATACTATTTTAGAGGTTACTGATCCTTCTCATCAACTGCACCATTAAACAGTGAATGTTTACTTAACATTAGGATATGAAATCACCATACTTAATCTTCAGTTTTGAGTACAGAATGTCCAATTTTACGATCTTCTTCTCAGATATACTTTAATATTGAAAATCTGCATGCTCTATACCTTTCAGTAAAACTGAACATTTATTATAAGAATGAAGGGGAGAACAATCTTAAAATTATTCTTTTCAAGCTGTCTTAGATTAGATCGAAAACTTCTGCTGAACTGATTTTTCTGAAGGCATGTGCAATATATTTACCCTTCTGAAAAATACCACATTTCTGACTGCAAATAGGTAGTACAGAAAGTAATCTTTGAATGTTTACTCATATATGTATCATTTGATCTGTGTTTTTTTATGTTATTTTCCACAGAAGTCTAATATTCTTACAGGAATGCAGGTTCTCAAAAGACAAAGACAATATATACATTTTATTAAGTAATCATTACAGAGTAACACAGTGGCAACAGTAGTGTAGAACAGGACCTCCAGGGAATTCATTTCAAATCATCGAAACAGCTGTTTCTTCAGTATGAGATAAAACATCTATAACAAGTTCACACATGACAGATGTAAGCTAAAAACTAGATGCCATAGTGTGATATAAAACCAGATGTTTTGAATGATCATATTTATAGCTATATATACTAAATCATGTTTATCCCTTTGCATATTTTCCCCAAAAATATTTATCGAGTTTTTTCAGAACATTTTTAAAACAATTTCCTGAACCTTAGAATACTGTATTTATTAATTAAATGTTGATAATATATACAATTGTGTGTACCTGGTCAAGTTTATTTTTGTAATTCCTTGATATAAAAAAAGTGCTATAATTCTAAATATTCTAAATATTATGGTTTCTGTACCATGAAGCAAAAGACTTGAGAGTAAGAAACACGAAACTGTTCTATTTCATTCCTTCTAATATATAATGCTATGTAAAAAGCTCAAGTTTAAAAGCAATACTTTTCCAATCAACAGAAGAGCAATGTGAATGCAATTATTATACCCATCGTTAAAATCAAGACATATACAGCTGATGAAAACTAGCATTCAGTTATATTTTCTATTTTGAATGAGAGGTAAAAAGTTGGAAGGCACTACTGTATAAGGCTATGAATGTTTTCCATACCATTTCACCACCTCCAGCACAAAGATGCTTTCTCTATTTTATGCTCTTTAATTTTTATTTCTAAACCCACAGTTCATTCGAGCGAATTCAAGTGGAGTTTTATTTCACTTCACTTTTCATAAGCTTCAAGTCTCTTATTCCTCTGTAAATGTGAACTGCCTTAAACATATGTCAGAAAGTAAAGCTAAAATGTTTCTTGACAGAATTGCTTCACATCAGGGGAGAAAAAACCTAAGGACAAGCCATTCTCTCCATCAAATGCAGTTACAGCCTCACCTCTGAATGATGTTCTTCATTTTGCTGCAATACTTCGATACAGAGTTCTGCAAGGTGAAGAACCTCTTCCAGTTTTCTAGCAGGTGTTGCTTGGTTCATGGTCTCTATATATATATAAAATGCAAACCAAAATTGCTTTAGTTACAAATAAGAGTTAACGGTAAGAGAAAACAATGTCAGAAAGGAATGGGAATGGTGGAGTTACAATTTTCTGAAGTATAAGCAATTTCATGTGTTGAGGACATTCATTTATAAATGTAGCTGAATGTCCAGATCACTAGAAAGAGAAAATATTTAATTCACAAAAGAATCACTGATCATTATAAACATTACCTGATTTAATATATGAGAACTAACAGGTGCATCAGTGTATTAGATGCTCAACTTCTGCAACAAGCAAGTTGTAATTCTCTTCAAGGTCAGATATACAAAGACAGCAGACAGTGGAGACCTTTTTTGTTATTGTACCATCAGTACAATGCTGTTCTCACTAGATGACTCATTACTGTCATCGACAAGATTAATGCATTTTGCAGCAGTCGAAAATTCCAAACGTTTTATCTAAAGAAGGCACTATATTTTAGGGGTATTTAGTACAAGCCACAGTAAAAATTCAAATAACTATTTTCTAATAACTAATTATTTAAATAATGACTTTTCTACCTCCTGTTCAGCAATACGAGTGAATCTGCATTCTTTTGAGTACCATAGCGAAAAGCAGCACTATAAAATAGAGATTTTATAACAGAATTGACATAAACCAATTAAAAGCTCCACATAGAAGAAAACAAGGATAAATGCAGAAGTTACAAATTATATGAGGATCACTGATTCTACAGCATAGACTTCAAAAAGAAGCAAACAACAAAGGTAAAACAATTGTCCTGAAACTCTTACAGGACAATTAAACCCAGTTTAGTTTTCAATTAAAAGTAACACAGGACTATATCCCAAGAAGAGCCATAGGAGTTAAAGGAAGAGACCAATTGAATTTTTTAACAATCATAGTTTAATCAGTAAAAATAATTTGTCCATACAGAATTTGCATCATTAGGAATAACTTCAGTATCAGCTATATGAGCGTGTTTACTTAACTATGCTCTTGTCACTGAGTGTAAACCATGGGATGGAAATGATATTGTACAATATAAGCATACATAAAGTATGGTCACATTAGCCAGGTTTGCAGAGGACTTATGAAGCTGATAACACAAGGTGAGTGAGGGTCTCAGGAATCCTATTTTCCCATTTTCTGTGCATGTTCATGGGTCACATTGAATAGCAAATCACATGAATACACACCATATGCAGAAAATTTGCTGACATTTCTTTCTCACTTTAGGCATTCATAATGACATAGAACATTAGGAGGTTAATTAAAAAAAACTTACATAATCACCTTGGTGTCAGTAAGAATATCAAACTGCATGCAATAAGTATTTTTAACACTTAACATTTCTGGCAAATCAAAACAACTTTTCAGACATCTTAAAGGCAGGTGACCTTGTCCAGTTCTTCAGCACTAACAGACACATAGTTCCTTGATGAAATATATAGCTTTAATGCAATTTTTGAAGAAACATTGGATTAGAACCTCCACCAAACATCTGCTTAAAGGTGTCTACAAAACCACATTGTTTTCATGCAAAAAACAAAGCAGGCAAATTAGTTACTGAAGGAACTAATTATTATTTTTTTTTAAATCTTATTAAAATAGACAACACAAGCAGACATGTTAAAATAATATGATTTCCAAAACAATCTAACTCAAGAAAGAGTTATTGCATGAACATGGACCAAGCACAAAACACACACCAGGACACAAAACTATATTCACAATGTCAAGATCATGGTTATTAATACTTTACTGAGTTTGCAAATTTGATACTGTAGAACAATCATATGAATATAATCACAACTATATTAATGTATTATGTCAAGTGTGATTAGAAAGGATTGGTCCAGCCCATATTATTTAGGTTATAGTGTAAAGACTACTATTGGATTTGGACTTAAACAGTGGTCTCTACGCTTATCCTGGACTGAAAATGCTGTTTCCTCTAGTGGTGTGTCCTCCTCTCCCTGAACACACAGCAAGTACTATTCATACAGCTGATACATCACTATCTGTATCACTGATGCTAATGAGTCTTAGGAAGAAACCAGTGATATTAATACAGAGTATGACTGGCACATCTGATTTCAGCACAAACAACTCATTTTATTACAAATTCAGCCTGATCTTCATAGACCTTAGCACTAACCAAGTAAACAAAATAATTGCATTCATAATTGCTTTCATTCCTAATGAAGCCAAATAAGCTGTAAATGATTCAAAAATTATCTCCTAGAAGGGCTCCTCTAAATTAGTAAGAAAGAAATGCTAATAATTATAAAGAATCTGATGTTGCATTTTTGCATTGGAGTAAGTTCACTTATTTCGCCCCTGGAACAAGATCAAAATAGCCTAAAAATGGCTATTGAACATATATCATTATCAGTAGGGAGAGCAGGAGAAAGACCATAGATTTACTAGCTAACTGTGAGATTATCCCAAACCACCATTGTGATGAGATCATGATGAAGAGAAATATGGTTTTAGGGAAGTATTAATTCCACCAAGCAAGGCACTGAGGAAATGCAGTTCTAGTTACCTGTGTTGAAGTGATGAATTTTGATCAGAAATGGCATTGAAAGGATAAAAATTCTGGATTTCAATTAGAAATAGCATTGAATGGAGTCTGGGTTGTTTTTGGTATGTTTATTTGTTAATAAGCCTAAGAAAATGAAGGATGAAAGCGGAGATGAGAAGTGCTCCCACACAGACTACGTGGGAATACAGTTTTCCTACAGTGAGATCACCTAGGAAGCAGAAGACATGCTTATGATCAGGGATGATGCTGGCATAAAACTAAATCAGTCATGATAAATCATTTAAGCTAGTAATTGCGAGGATTTCAGTCATTATGGAACTAATGTTCAGATTTTTTTTTTTTTCCAATAGAATTAGTATGTTTAGGAGGAAAAGAGACCAAAACTGTAAATTTCCCTTTGAGGTGAGTTTTTCAAGTTTCTGAATGACATTTCATTGCAGGAATGACTAAAAATGTGGGACAGATTAGGCTCAATGAATTCCAGTTTCAAGTTTGCATGAAATTCCTCATCCTATTTACTATTTACTAGTTTACTCCAAAACTATTTATTACTTGCTAAAAACATGCAAATTACTCTTGATGCTTCCTAGAGCTTTCAACAATATTTTAAAAAATATTATTTTCCTGTACGATTTATTGATAAGAAAACATAGCAGAGAATTGCACTCACTCTGCATCCTTGGACAAATCTCTAATTTTGCTGTTGTTTACTGATTCACAGAATAAATTAATACATGCAATTTCATTTGTATGGTATATGCTTCCCTATCTTTTGCTTAGGCTTCATCTAAAGCTTCCTTTTCCATCTGTAAGTTACCACATCAGCTAGTCTTTTTTTCTGTAACTAAGGACCTTTCACTGTCAAAATGTATCTTTATCTGGGTGTATAAATAAAGGGCTACAAAGTAATTTGAAAGATAATGAACTAAATATGATTTTTTTTTTACCAAACAAGTAGTATATTTGAAATATGATCACCAATAAACTGTTACCTGGAAGTTTTAAAACTCTCCGAAACATCTGTGCAAAATACTGTGCTTGTCTTTATAAGAGTGAAAAAAAATACAGGAATGGAAATCAGTGCTGTCAGTTTTCATTATATTCATGATGTCTTTCTCCCCACAATTACTAAGGGTTGTTAAGATGTGTTTACACTGCTCAAACTAACAAGTTGCAGCAGGAGTCGAGTCAGTAAATATGCTGCTTGACATCTTCTAGAAAATAAACAGAAAAAGCCATCAATCATCTGTTTACAGCTTCACATTCTGCTGAAGTGAAAAAGCAAGCCAGGCTTTGCAAATAATGGATGCTTTCTCAAGTATGCATTATCAGCGAGTCACATAGGTACCAAGAAAATATTGTTAAATGAGCTAAGCTAATTGACTAAAACACAACCGAAATGAAAAGGTGACTACTTCATGGACTGATGGAACCTAGGGCCACATGGCACTGTCAGATCATCCAGTCTGACCTGTGTCACACAGGTCAGAGAACTTCTCCCTGTTCCTCCTTTCTTGAGCCCATCAGGATGTCTAAAAACCCAACTTCAGCTTGCTTTCCAGAAAAGAGTTTATCCTTGAAGAGATATGTACAATTTGCCTCTTTCTTTTTCTCCCCAGCGTGTAAACTGTTAAACACTCATGTTTAATTTCTATAGGCACCTGCT